AGCCAGTTTTGTAATTTAAGGTCTACGATTTTGTTATTAGCAGTTCCTTCCTCTGCCTCAGTGTATTCTTTGCCATAGAATTGATAGATTAGTATTAATTGGTAGACTAAGCTTTCCTGAATACCTTTCCCCTGCACCCAGTCTCTTTTGAAGTATGGGCTCTGTTTATTTTGCAGATTCAAATAATGACACGACATTTTTGGACATGGGTGTTTTTTACTAAGCATTTGTAAGAGCTGTGAAAGCATCCTCATCACTCCTTCCATTGAGTTCACTTCATTTAGGGATTTTCTCACACCTGGTTAGGTGCTTTCCTTGGTGATTGTCTTGGGAATTTAAGTGGCTTTTAATCTTTAAAATTTTTTCCACTTGTTCAGCCTATGTTCCATAATTGGGTTGTTTTACTTTTTTATAGATAGCTAGTCATAACAATGACTATAACAAGCTAAAATACTTTTAGCCCCCAATTTATTCATTCAGAAATACTTATTGAGCACCTCTTGTGTGGAAGAAACTGAACTATGCGTTGGAGATGTATAGAGATAACCAAAACCAATGGCTAACATTTATTGTTTTCTCAGTGCCAGACACTATCCTAAGGGCTTTGTAGTCATTATTTTATTTAATCCTCATCCCCATTCTATAAAGTTATCCTCGTTTTACAGACAAGAAAACTGACGTATGAGAAAATTAAGTAACTTGCCACTTCACAGTTATGAAGGGGCTGGATACGAACATAACAGAATATGGCTTCAAAGTTTATGGTTCTGTCAAAATGCAAACACTGCCTTCAAGAGGTTTATAGTATAATAAAAATAACGGAGATTAAACATGAACCCATAAACCCCCAAATAATCCAATATAAAAGTGGGCAAAAGGTCTGATAGACATTTCTCCAAAGAAGATCTAGGAATAACCAATAAGTAAACGAAAAGATGCTCAGTATCATTAGCAAATGCAGATCAAAACCACAAAGAGATACTGCTCACACCCACTAGGATAGCTAAAAGATAGACAATGACTGCTCAGGAGGATATGGAGAAATTGGAATCCTCATATACTGCTGGTGGGGATGTAAAATGGTGCAGCCACTTTGGAAAATAGTCTTGGTAGTTCCTCAAAAGGTTAAAATATAGAATTACCATGTGACCCAGCAATTCCACTCCTAGGTATATAGCCAAGAGAACTGAAAAGACATATCCAACAAAAATTTGTGCGCAGATGTTCATAGCCACATTATTATCATAGCCAGAAAGTGGAAACAACACGAATTTCTATAAGCTGATGAATTGATAAATAAAATGTGTTTATCCATAAATGGAATATTATTTAGCAATAAAAATGAAGTACTGATATATGTTACAATATGGGTCATTCTTGAAGACATGAAAACACATAAAAGGAAGAAACCAGTTACATACATACCACAGGACGTATGAGTCCATTTACATGAATCATCCAAAACAGGCAAATCTGTGGAAATAAAAAATAGATTAATGGTTTCCAGGGGCTGGAGAGAAGGGGGAATGGGGAATGACTGCTAATGGGCAGAAATTCTTTTGAGGGTGATGAAAACATTTTTAAGCTGATTGTGATGATGTTTATACAACTCTGTGAATATACTAAAACCATTGAACTAAACACTTTAACTAGATGAAGTGTGTGATATGTGAACTTTATCTCAATAAAGCTGTTATAAACCAAGTAATTAAAATATTAACTATCATATAGATTCATAACCAAATACTATGAAAATTCAGAAAGAAGAGACCGTTTCAGGCTGCTACAATTAGGAAAGCCTTCATTGGATAGTGGGGTTTTGGTAGAGATGGGATGAGGCATGTGAAATTGGAGGAAAAGAAATGAAGAAGGTTATTTCTTGAGAAAGAATGTCAACAACAAGAAGGAAAGCATATGCCTGGGTAATGATGAAGGATCTAGTTTGGCTGGTGTGCTTGGAGTGGTGGTTACAATAGCCAAGTGTTGGCTCACTTTAGAGAATAATAGCAGAAAATATTTTAAATTGTAACTTTGCCCCCTAAATGTAAGGTGTACTGTTATGGTATCATATAAAGGAGCGGTAAAGCTTGAAATGATAAGTTGGCCTAGATCATGGAGGGAGAGGTATGAATACTAGGTGAGGAGAACATCTCTGATTCTTTCCTTACTGAAAGCTCAAAATCCCGTTTCCTTATTAGCTCATCTAGACATTGATGAAAAGACTGCCAGGCTTAGGGGAGCCTGTGGAATGTGGCACCTGTAGAAAAGCCTTATATCTGAGTACAAAGTATCTTTCCCAGTTTCTCCGGACTGTGGTAATATCACGATGTTTCTCTTCTGCATCAAGCCCTATAGCAGGAATTACAGAAGTGATATGAATTGACTGCAATTATTTCATTCCATTATATTCCATTCCACAGTTATTTTATTGAGCAGCTGTGTAAAAGATCTATGTTGGATGTTGCAGGAGCTCAACAGTTCATGTTTGTAGATGTAGCTCTAAGTTTATTTTGAAACTTCGTAGGTGTTTCCTTCTTCCATCCTTCCTGAAAGGTTCTAGAGATGCAAAGGGAGGAACTACTTCACTCACAGTCAAATGGGGCCAGGGATCCAGAGTATAGCTGCCTCTGGCAGACCCCCAGCAGAAAGCCTCCTGTTCTTGTCTTTTTTCTTTTTTTCAATTGAAGTACAGTCAGTTACAATGTGTCAATTTCTGATGTACAGCACAATGTCCCAGTCATACATATACATACCTATATTCGTTTTCATATACTTTTTCATTAAAACCCTCTATGGTGTTATCATCTATAGTCCACCTGGGCTGCGTGTGGAGTGTAAGGACTAGGGCAACCTGGTTCAGCCCCAGACCCAGTCATCCATTTGCAGTGGTGGTGGGTGAGGGAAAGGCCACCACTGAACTTGAGTTTAAAAGTTAACCAGGAAGACTTTGAACAGGAGACACAAACCATACTTATCCCTAAGAGGAAGAGAATAGAGAATAAATCTCATTTGCTCTCCTTCCTGTACCACTTTCTGTACCACATTATATGTGTAAGATCTGTCTGTACATTTCTTTATTTTTCCAGTTATGAAGTATTTATCATAATGTAAATGGAAAAGGTCACTACAGAAAATTCAGAGAAATGTAATAAAAACAACCAAAATCACACATCATAATAATCACTGCTAACATTTTGGTGTATTTCCTTCCTTTTCTATGTGCATATATTTCCCCCCCCCCAAAGTTGGAATCATATATATGTGTAAACATACATCAAGTTTTGTATTTTGATTTTTTTTGCTAATTCTCCAATATTGGACATGATGATGTTCTTTTAGTTCCACTTTTCAGCCACAATGCCTTGCAAACACTTTTTTTAGCCAACAAATACAGCCATTAGAAACATGAACGCTCGCAGAGCTCTTCGCTGAGCTTTTGCTGCAACAGTGTGGTAATCACAGCAGAACCAAGCCCTCTCCCTGGGGACTGCACACAGCCATCCCTTTGAAGACATACTGACTCCGCCTCACTTGCTTCTCACCTGGCTGATCAGAAGGACCAGCAGTGATACAGGTAAGGTCTTACAATGAAGAGACTATTTATTTGGGAGAAATTGTTGGCCATGATTGTGAACCAGAGAGCCAAATGTGACTGAAGTGTTTGGGTATCTACTCCAACTGTATGTGGTCCCTTTACATGTATGCCTCTACATCGAGCTAGTTCATAGTCTCCTCGTAGTTTTCCTGTAGATGAGAGGTGAAAAGAGTGTAAGGCCTGGAGGCAATACCTGGGTGCACTGCTGGAATTTTCTGTTTTGGTGGAGTTCATACTCATCTTTCATAGTTTATGAATTTCATTTTTCTGTTTTTCCTTCTTTTTTGTCTTTTTCCTGTTATACAGTGAAAATTTGTTAAAATGTTACACCAAATTAAATTTAATTTTGTTAATGCAATAAACCCGTATTGGGGCTGTACAACACGTGGAAAACAATGACGGACATATGAAAGACAAGAGGATGTAGACAGACCCTTAGGGAATTTACAGTCTAAATTGTACAGGGGTGATAAGCTGTGCAAACAAATAACTATCAAAGTGCAGACCAGGTTACAGGGTCATTTTTAATGACAAAGAAGTGCTCACAAAGCAGTTTAAGCAGCTGGACCCTAAACTGTATACAAATTTAGTTGTCTTAAAAAGTACACATACAGGAGACTGAGAGACAATACTCCAAAATGGAAATCGTGGTTGTCTGGGTGATGGACTTAAAAGTAATGATAATATTCTTTATTCTTTTCTATTTTTCTAATATTTTAAAAGAATGGATATGTGTTACTATTAGAATCATAAAAAATAAGCTCTATTAAATGTGTGAGAGTATTATATAAAAATACAAAATACAATAGAAATGCAGAGGAGCAAATTTTATCTCTGACTGGGGTTGGAGGAAACGGGAAGGCTTTAGGATTTATGTCTTTTATGATGATGAAAAACTTTTAATCTTGGAAATAAATAATGAAATTTCATTGAGTTGAAAAGGCTTTTTATATTCCTACAACTTCTTTCCTCTATGACATTTGACTACAGTCTCTCTCTATTAACTATCTATAGTTCTAATAGCTGTTATCTGGCATACTGCCTTTTATATTTTATATTATTTTAGATATCTTAAAAATTTTTTTGCTACATATACCACAGAGAGATGTTTTCTAAGTCAGCAGTTGCTGGCAGTCACTAGTCATATTCCTAGTCAGAGTATATAGTCTTGGCAATGAATCTTTCCATTTGTCCCACTAACCCCAGAAATGCTTTATTTGGACATTTGCTGGCAAGGGCTGCTCATTTATCCTCTTGTTCTTTTGAAGAAATCTGTGTCTGTTAATATTCAACCCACAGAGCACATATTCTCCAGGGTCCAATAGGCATCTAGGAAAAAGACTTTTTATAATATTCCACAAGCCATCTGCTTCATCAGCCATGAGCTTCCTGTTCTTTTGGTGGACATCCTGGTTGACCCGACTTCCCACGGTGTGTGATGAAGTTGTAGGGGTTGGTCAGGACAGAATTTAGGTGACATGCACAGGCTTCAGCTAACCTGAAAGGTGAGAGTCTTGGTTCTGTGTGACCTTGCTGAATTATTTATCCTCTCTATGTCTTAGTTTCCTTACTTAGAAAATGGATATAATGAAAAAGAAAAAAATGGAATTAATAATACTACCCATTTCCTAGGCTTATTTTGACGATTAAAATTAGCATTTGTTAACATTTGATATATAGCTGCTATTATTCTGATGTATCACAGACCTGGTAGGTTGTGGGGTTATTTTTGCTCCTTAATAGATTATAAGAAGAGGCAGAGTTTTGGTTGATAAGTGAGTAGTGGGGGCCAGATGAGGGTGGTGTGATGGGGATTGTGCCAGGAAAAGAGGGTATGAACAGCACTATATAACTTCAGGATGGTACTGGTGGAACTCGAGGTATGAGGGAGTAGTGAGAGATGAGACCAGAGAGAGGGACTGAATCCAGACTGTCAGTAGGGTTGCCTTTACCTGCTGTAGCTGTGCATTTATATCAGAGCTTCTTGAAGGGGCTGAGTGTTCCCTAAGTCCTTTCTCCCACCCTGTCCAGAGCCATCCCAGGCTTGTTAATACCCTTCCCATTAAAGTGTGTCCCTGGCTGGGCAGACACGTTTAGTACTGTCTCTTGGTTATGTTCTCCTTTTGGGAAACATGGCTCCGTAACTTCTCAGATACACCTGTAATCTACTGGTTATGCCTCCCCTACTGCTGACTTTCCCCCAACAACATCCAGAAAGGCCAGCAACAATTGCTTGGGAAGTTGTCATTAACCCCCCTCAAACATCATCTTAGGGCCCACTCTGACCCAAATAAATTCAAATGTGACTCACCTATAGAGATCTATTTGCATTTTATAGTAATGGAGTTCCAGATTCACACAGCAAATCAAACAAATCTGCATAGGATCAGCTTGGATGAACTTGACTCAGTGGACAATCCCACATGGAATGTCGAAGTGCTGGAAGCCTGTCTGCTAAGGGTGCATCTGGTGGGCATGGAGCCTGGAGGTGGGGTCTGGGGGGGCCTTCCTTGCATCCAGCAGGGTTGGGGCTGGGTTATGCTGGCTCACACTCTTTTTCAGCTGAAGCATATTTTCTGCCTTTCTCTTTTTTCCTTCCAGATTGTCTTTCTTTTTGGTGATTATCAACATACATCTACTTGTCCATGATATAGGTGAGTCACTTTTCAAAAAATCTTTGTGGGTATTGCTGAAACAACTTTGGAGATAGTGAGGTAAATAATGGTTTGGAGATTAGGAAAAAACAAGCACATGACTTCATCTCTCTGAACCTTACTTAGTCTTTTCATTCTTTAGATGTGAGTAACAATGCTGTATTTGTTTCACGGGAAATGGTGAAGAACAGATGGGAAAATATAACAGACCCAAATTGTAAAGCATTATTGTTTATTCTATTTTTATTTTTTTTTTAAATGAGAGAAGCCTCCCCATCCCCACCCCCAATCTGATTTGTCCGCTTGAGGCTATATCTGGGTAACTACACTTATTCACATCTATGATTTGAACTCCTACCATTAAAAAAAAAACTAGACAGTCATCCGCACTTAAAGTGACAAGTGCCAATTTAGGGTATAGTATCACAGAATATTTGTGATCAGGTCTGCCTAAAAAATCTGGATGGGCAGTCAACACAGGGTTTGTGTAACTTTTTCTACTCAATTCTTCAAAAACATGGAGATGAATAGTATATAGATATTGAAAATGTTAATGTCATTTAGCTAACCGAAAGTATATATGCAAAATTTTAAAAATTTTGGGGAGGGAGGTAATTAGGTTTATTTATGTATCTTTAAATTATTATTATTATTACTAATTTTTTAGTGGATTTACAATTCATAAACTACTAAAGATGAGTATCAACTCCACCAAAACAAAAACTTCCAGCAGTGCACCCAGGTATCATCTCCAGGGCTTACACCCTTTTCACCTCTCGTCTACAGGAAAACTACGAGAAGACTACAAACAAGCTCAAGGTAGGGGCATACATGTAAAGTGGATGTACTGAGGATTGAACCCAGGACCTCGCGCATGCTAAGCACGCACTCTACCACTGAGCTATAGCCTCCCCTGCAAAAATTTCTTTTAAAAACCATGTATCCAAAACCTGCACTATAACTACTCTAAAAGTGGTCAAACACATTTATAGTTTTCACGTGTATGTGGTCTCTCAGGAACCTACAGCAGTCCTGCCAGTCTCTTAAAGGTGGCAGCAGCTGGAAGGCATCCTCAGGCCCCAGAGCTCTATTCAGGAGTTAGTGCAAGGCGTGGTCCGCCCAGGTTACCTTTGCTGACTGTTTTCTTTTGATGCTTAGTAAGTCTGTGTGTGTGTGTGTGTGTGTGCGTGTGCGTGTGTGTGTGTGTGTGTGTGTGTGTGTGCAGAAAGGCAAAGTGAACTAGTAATCTAGTCACAGTCAGAAACAACCCAACCAAATAAATTAAAAGAATGTGTATATATGTGAGAAAGAAAAATGTGCGTTAGTTCTAATACCTTACATTTTATAGCAGTAGTGACAACCTAATACTAGGTGCTAGGGACTAGATTAGGTGTTTTAGATACAGTATCTTTTTACAGTTTTCAGAGTGTTTTCCCATATTAGCTTTTCACTGGCCTTTTGCCTCAGCTTCTTGGGCTTTGGGAAGCTAATTCTTTAGGTTTAGAAATAATACAGATTGAAATAGACGAAAGAGTTATTCAGCTTCAAGTAGGGCCATCTGCAGACACATCAGTCAAAAGTTGGCTTTAATATCACCAATTACATCATCGGCAGATCCTGTTTCAGATTTACTTGCCAGAGCCTTTGGATTCCTGAGTCTCAGACCTGAGCAAGACCTCCTGGATATAAACTGAGAATCTGGAATCAAGGACCTTTCATGAGTGAGCCACATATTTCTATGAAAGAGATTGGGAAAAAGGGCAGCTTACTAACTTACCCACCCATTTGGTCTACTCCTTCTGTCCCTCTGGAAAATGACTGAACCATGTCACATAAAAACAGTCCCTAAGATTCCCAAAGTATTTCATAACAACCCTGGGGCAGTGTTTTTGCCCTAATTATACATAAGGAAACTAACATAAATGAGATTCAGTGACTTGCCCAATTTCAAATGACTAGGAAGAGGACTTATAACTTGCATTTACAAATCTACCAAGATTTTTCATACCTGTAATCGACTGCTTCTTGATTATAACCATGTCAGACACATAACAGTTTGAGCAGGAAAGTGCTTGGTTTTTTTAATATGCAATTCCGTCCTTCTGAAATTTAGACAAGTTGTTTCATCCTGCCTCCTTTTTTCCATTCTCTGTCTTCCTTTATATTCATTCAGTCATTTGTTTAATTAGTCATTTTTTCATTCATCAACTTAGAACGAGTGCCTGATGTTAGAAGAAAGAACCCGGTTCAGATGGAGCCAGACTTAGCCTGGGTTTGAATCATAGCCCTACTTCTTACTAGCCAAGTGTCCCTGAACAACTTACTTCACCTCACTGTGCCTTGGTTTTCTCAATAGTACCTACCTCGGTGTTAGTATGCAGATTAAATGAATTAGTTCAGGAAAGGCTCTTAGAATATGTCTAGTGCATTGTAAAATTTAATAAATGTTACCTGATACATTAGTTAGGGTTCTCCAGAGAAACGGAACAAACAAAATGTATATAAAGGGTTCAAGTGATTATGGAGGTGAGAAGTCCCTGGATCTGCACTGGGCAAGCTGGAGACCCAGGAGAGCCTATGGTGTAGTTCTTTTTCAAGTCTGAAGCTCACAACCCAAGAAGAGCCTATGTTTCAGTTTGAGTCTGAAGGCCAGAAAAGACCAAAGTCTTAGCTCAAACAGCTGGGCAAGAGGAGTTCCCTGCTCCTCAAGGGAGGGTTGGTCTTTTTGTTCTATTCAGGACTTCAACTGATTGTTTGAGGCCACCCACATTAGAGAGAGCAATTGGCTATACTCAGTCTACTGATTCAAATGTTAATCTCATCTAAAAACACCCTCACAGACCTGCCCAGAGTAATGTTTGACTCAATATCTGGGGACCCTGTGACCCGGTCAAATTGACACATAAAATTAACCACCAGACCAGATACTTTTTACTGTGTCAAGTTCTATGCTAGGCACTGGTGAAACAGGGTTAAGATATGGTCTCTGTCCTCTGTGGACAGTCCATGCCCAGCCCCATCAATAGCCACGTGGCTGCTACTGCTGAAATGAGCAGATTGTATCTATTATTCAGCTGGACTGTCCCCAGCCGAATGTCTCTCTGACTGCTCTTTGCTGGGCTGATGGCTTAGAAGCTTCCTTGCCTATTAACATCCACCATTTGGATTTTCCTTAGTGCCTTACCTATTTTTTTCTTCTATTTAATCTCACTACATTATATCAAACAATATCCTTACTTAGGCTCATGATGACTTAGTTCTTCCTCCTTTCTGGTGCTTGTTGCTTGCATAGTGTTCCTAGGAGAAAAAGAAAAAATTTCACTATCTGTGTTACTTGAGTTGGGAATTAGTCTTTTAGGCTCAAAAGTTTGGTGACTATGACCCAAAAGGTTTTTTCAGTTCTGAGGTCTTGTTTCTTTCTGTGATACTACCAGTCTCTTACTTCGTGGCCCCGAGCAACTTTGCTCCCTGGGTTTCAGTTTTGTCTTTTAGTAGCAGAGACATTTGACAGAAGTATTCTGACATGGAAACCCAATTCATAAAGTAAATTAGAGACGGATTGTTCTGATTGAAGTGGTAAAAGAATGGAGGTGTCACTGATTTGATCTTTCACCTGGCTGTCAATGGGGTGGGATGTGGGGAAAATAATTTGAAAAGATTGAATAAGATGATCTCTAAGCTTTCTCCCAGCTCTAACATAATCAGATTCTATTCCAGGTCATGATACTATGAATAGTACATAGTGCATGGCTGTATTCCCCTGGGCCCTCAGCCCCTTCTGTTCATAACTCTGCCCAGACCAGTAGATATTTGTGGCAGGTCGAGTAGACTGACTTACTGAAAATCTATTCTTATCTTTTTGATGTGCCTTCCTGGGCTACTGAGACTAGAGAGAGAAAAAACATTTCCAAGCTTCCTTTGCAGTTTAGGTTCTGAAAATGACGTAGGCTCTGCCAATCAGATACATTTGCTAACTGATACAAATCTAAGTGAGGAGAAAGGATATAGTGCACGAGGCATCCTTTCTTTTTTTTCATTGTGAATCCAGCAGATGCAGTGTGGCTCTGGAGCCAGCCAGTTCCTGCAGCGACAGCTCCTTCACCTACCAGCTCCCTGATGTGACAGAGGCAGTGGCTCCACTGGCCGACAAGCTTAGCATACTGTTCTGAGCCTAGCATCATTCAGGAAAGGACAGAACACATACATTGCATGTTTCACCTTCCATGCCTTTCTTTGGGCTCTTTCCTCCAGCATCCCAACGATTTTGTAAATGTCTAATTCCCTGTACTAAATCCCTTTTTGCTTGAAATAGCTGCAGTGATTTTTTTCATCTTGTTAAACCTTACCTGGTGCAGTGTTCACTGGTCTTTATAATTGCCCTGCTAACTTCGTTTCTTCTTCTACGTCCTCAGTGTCTACAGAAGAGTTACAGGCCCACCCTTTCACTGATGTTACCCTTTCCTGTCATTTCTCCTTTGTGGAGGGCACAGAAAATCTGGAGTTTTCTTGGGAAAGAGAAGACATCAAAGAGGAATATGAGGTAGAGGATAATAAAGAATATTACTGCTTTTTCAGGTACTTTGATTTTTTTGAAGTTTTCTCAAAGTTAGTTTACCAATTTCACAATAACACAGAGCAAACTAGAGGACCAAAACTCCTTGTATGAGGGGAGAGTCTCCGTGGATCGGGATGAAATTTTCTGAGGAGACCCTATCGCTTTTACTAAGAAGTGTGGATTTCCTGGATGAAGCTATCTACAAGTGCTCAGCCATCACACCAAGCGGAAGATGCGAAAGTGCAGTTAGACTAACAGTAGAAGGGAAGGGTTGGATTAACTTGGTTTTAAGCTCTGTCTCTGTTCACAAAGATAAACTATAAGTTTTCTTTCCCGGTATTCTCACTTTTTCTCTTCTACTCAAGTTATTATAGATACTTCTTGATCCCATCATGAGAGTCAGGTACTTGGAATGTCAGTTCATTTTAGCTAAAAACATTGCTCGGAACCAAAGGTGTTACATCTGCACCTGACTACATCATTCATTAATTCGAACAAGCAAACAAAACATAAAAAAAAAAAAGTGACACTGGTCCTATCCCAAACGCACCAAACAAATTGTTACATGGAAGACCAAAATGTTACATAAGACTCCTACATGAAAGCTCTGAGATATGATGTGTGGTTTAGTGAGAAGAGCCCTGTGCTGGGAGTCAGGAGGCCCAAGTTCTTATTCTATGAATCGGGTAAATCATTTAGCTTTTCCAGGCTTCATTCTTTTACTATTAAAAGGTAAGACTGCGCTGGACCAGTGGATTGCCATAGTGCCCCAAGGATACTCACCCTTTTCAGGATTACATAGAGAGTGGTCTGCTCCTCATCAGAGGACTCATGAAGGTGGAGAGAGGCATGGTAGAGTTCCTCAGGGTAAGGGTTGGAAGAGATAGGAAGGTACAGCTGAGAATCATGTGTTATCTTCTGTGATTCTCGGCAGGCTTGTCTGAGGTTAGCAGAATCTGAAATGAACCCTCCCCGCCAAGAAAGGGAAGATGCCAAAAATAAAGGCAGCAGTGGTAGATGAGACCTGAAGGGCAAGAGCATGTGTGTATCCTGATATTCTCTCACTGTGCCTTGATCTGAATTTTAACCACCATGAACCTCAAGATGTGAGGCTTACATAAGGGTTAATGTAAAAACTCAGGGCAAGATTTCTGCTAGCCTCATCCTCTGGGGCTGGAATTAAAAAAGGAACTAATTGTTTTGTTAGTTTTTCCAACCAGACTCTGAAATGCCCCAGGGGCTGTTTGATAAGATTGATGATGAGGACGAGGCCACGTGCATCTCTAAGGGCTGGCACCTCACGCCCAACGTGATCTGGCTGGACCGGGAGGAGAGGGACCTGAGCAACCACAGCACCATGGAGGTCCTGGAGGAGCAGACGAATGGCTTCTTCAGAGTGTTCTCTGTCCTGAAATACCCTGTCAGGTTAAGTGAGAACTATGTCTACCGCATAACAGAGACAGATGTGAACAACCAGCCCTTCAGAGTCGTCCACAGGTACCCGAGTAAGTGAGTTATAGCAGGCTGTATTTCAGCACAGAGGAGTCATCACACAGTAATACTGACCCAGTGCCAAATGTGGCAGGTGCTCCTGGGCCCTTTGGAGACTTAAAGAAGCTCAGGAACAGAAGCTGGTAGCCTGGGGCAGGAGAAGGTGGTGAGGTGGAGTCTCTTTGGGTTTGAAAAAAGATCACACTTCAGAGGTTGACAGCTTTCACCCCGTCGATGTGGCTGTTACTATTGATGAGGATTTTCTCCCTCTGCTGAGGACATCAGCTTTATGATGTGACAGGCCAAGTAATCATAGCTGCCGTCTATCAGCCTCTCACCTCGTGCCTGGCACTTCACATGTCATTTTAAGTGCTTGCCTCGACCCTGCAAGGTAATTGTTATTGCTGCCCCTCTCCTGTGTGAGGAAACCCAGAAGGCAAATCATTTGATCAAGGACATGGCTAATAAGTACATAAATTAGAATTCAAACCCTTTCTTATCTGAACCCAGAATTCATGCACTTTATTTTCTTACACCAGGCATTTATATATCTAAGACTGTAGACTGCATGAAGAGGTCTAAATCATCTAGGCTTGGAGAAGGGGAGCTCCTGTGTGATAAGTAATGAGACTAGGAGTGAAGTCACTGCACCATTCATAAATCTTGGAAAGCCCTAAGATTGCTATCTAACTACACTCTGCAGAACTCTGTAGTTCCTTGGGAGAAAATTTGATGGATTATTTTTTATATGTCTGTTCTGTTACTTCTAAATTGTGCCTGCATTCTTCAAGGAAGGATTCAAGAACTTGAAAAAGCATTTAGGAAAAGGAACATGTATTTATTGAACACCTACTGTGTGTTAGGGTGGTACCTAGGTACCTTCACATGCCATATTTAACACCACAGTGACTTCTGAGGTAGATGCCCCCATTTAACAGAGGAGGGAACTGAGGCTGAGGAGAAGGTAAATTATTGAAGGCTACAGAGCTGGAAGTGTTAGAACCCAGGATTTGAACCCAGGTTTAACTATTAACAAAGGCCTGGGTACTTTCTGCCCTACCATGGCTGACTCAGGGGCATTCAGTTCCGGAGCCTCAGGCAGTGACTGATCTAGGCTGCTACCTGCGTCCCACCTGCTCTCCTTCAAGGAGAAAGGGGATGGTGATGAGTAAACATGCACGTGAGCTAATTCCTTCTACTTTCCTGTGGCTCCAACTCAGACTTCCTTGGAGGGTTAGATCTGGCAAGGACTTTGGCTGTCATCTTCTACTAACCACAGCATGTGGCAGTGAGGAAACAGAAGTCCAAAGAGGTGGAGTAGTTGTCCAAGGGTGAACAGCCTCTATACAAGGAGTGACAATGGAGTCTGGCTTCATGCAAAGGTTGGATGGCCACCCTTCAGGTTTAGTCTATATGGGCCTGGCAATTAATCAAACATTCAAGACACTTTTTTTAAACCCTGGATCTCCCAGTAACTAGCTGTGAACATTATACAACTGTTAAAACTATTCACTAACATTTTTAATGACATGGGGAAAGGCTTACAATATGCTGTCAAATTTTAAAAAGCAAGATGTAAGCTTGTATGTGTAGCATGAGCCCCAGTTGTTTAACTGTATGCAGATTAAAAAGATAGGAAGTACAATAATAATAATAGTTAACAACAATTACTGTCTACCTGCATGATGGGATTATAGGCAACTTTTATTTTCTTCTTTGTACTTCTGTGTTATGTAACATTCTACAATGAACAGATATTATTTTTATAGTCCAAAAATGCTATACTTTAAAAACCTTTTTAAAAACATTTTCATGAGATATACTTCACATACCATAAAATCCATCTGTTTGAAGTGTACGTTCAATTGTTTTAGTATATTCACAGAACTGTGCAACCATCACCACCATCTAATTTTAGAATATTTTTATTATCCTAAGAAGAAACCTCATACCCAACAGCAGTCACTCTCCATTCCTCCCACTGTGTCCCTCAGTCCCAGGAAAACATTAATCTACTTTCTGACTGTATGGATTGCCTATTTGGACCTTTCATATAAATGGAATCATACAAGGTGTGGTAACTGGCTTCTTTCACTCAGGATATTGTTTCCAAGGTGCAACATGTTGCAACATATCTCAGCACTTCATTTATTTTTAATGCTGCATGATATTCCATTGTGTGGATAGACCACATTTTATTTGTCCATTCACCAGTTAATAGAAATTGGATTGTTTCCACTTTTTGACTATAGTGAATGATGCTGCTATGAATATTTGTGCAAAATTTTGTGTGGATCTATGTTTTCACTTATCTTGGTAAATACTGTAGGTGAAATTGCTGGGTCATACGGTAACTATTTTGTAACCCCTTGAGGAACTGCCAGACTGTTTTCCAAAGTGACTGCACCACTTTACATTTCCACCAGCAGTCTATGAGGGTTCTAATTTCTCAGCATGGTTGTCAGCACTCATGATTATCTGTGTTTTTTTTCAGTCATCCTAGTGGGTGTGGGTGGTATCTTATTGTGGTTTTGATTTGCATTTCCTTGGTGGCTAATGATGTTGAGCATCTTTTTCATGTGCTTATTGGTGATTTCTTTGGAGAAATATATATTCAATTTTTTTGCCCATTTAAAAATGGGTTATTTATCTTTTATTATTGAGTTGGAAGTGTTCTTTATATATTTTGAATACTCATTCCTTGTCAAATGCTTTTTCTGTATCTGTTGAGGTGCTCATGTGGTCTTTGTCCATTATTCTACAATATGGTATATTACACTGATTGATTTTAGTATATTAAACTGATCTTGTATTCCTGGGATAGATCACGCTTGGTTATGGTATACAACCCTTTTTATATGTTGCTGGATACCATTTATAGGCATTTTGTTGAGGATTTTTGCATCTATAGTCCTAAGAGCTATTGGTCTGTAGTTTTCTCTTCTTGTGATTTCTTTGTCTGGCTTTGGTATCAGGGTAATACTGGCCTCATAAAGTAAGTTGAAATGTGTTCCCTTATCTTCTGTTTTTTGCAAGGGTTTCTGAAGGATTGGTGTTAATTCTTCACATTTCAGTTTTATTCCCTATATTGTTTTTCTATTCTCTAATTCATTTACTTCCACTCTAGTCTTTATTATTTCTTTCCTTCTGCTTGCTTTGAGTTTGGTCTGATTTTGTTTTTCTAGTAACTTAAGGTAGAAAGTTAGGTTATTGATTTGAGATCTTTCTTCTTTTTTTAATATAGGCATTTACAGCAGTAAATTTCTCTCTCAGCACTGATTTAGCTGCATCCCATAAGAACTGGTATGTTATGTTTTTATTTTTTATTCATCTCAAAGTATTCTCTAATTTCCTTTGAGATTTCTTCTTTGGCCCATTGGTTATTCAGAATTGTGTTGTTTAATTTCTACATATTTTTTTATTTCCTAAATTTCATTCTGTTATTGCATTCTAATTTCATCCCATTTTAATAAGCTTTTTTTAAGTGTGAGTTCTCCAGCTTTGTTCTTCTTTTTTCAAAATTGTTTTCAGCTATTCTATATCTCTCTTTGCATTTTCTTGCATTTCCATATAAATTTTCTGATCAGCATGTCAACTTCTGTTACAAAGAAAGCTGGGTTTTTGATAGAGATGGTGTTGAATCTGTAGACCAATTTGGATAGCATTGCCATCTAACAATATTAAGTCTTTTAAGATCCATGAATATGTGATGTCTTTCCATTTATTTAAAGGTACATGTTAAAAAATATATAAAATAAAATGTAGAAGCCCTGAGGTTAAATGAATTTGGAGAGGAAAAAAACTGGTATGAGACATATTAGAGAAGTAAAATCAACTTTAATAATAATTTTGCTACTGTTATATTGTTGAAGGGTATAATGACTCAAATCCACCCTACTGCAAGAAAGATAAAGAGAAGGGGAAAAAATGAGGAAGAGAGAGAAAGGAAGGGAGGGAAGACAATAGAGAGGGACAGAGGTATGGAGCAGGGAGAGAACGCAACACTTACTGGCAAGCTAGACAAAGACAGAAAATGTTTATCTCATTTAGTGCCTTGCAGCTCTTTCCTGATCTCAGCAAGAGGTGCTCATGGAGTAATCGTCCAGCAACTAGAACAGAAAAGATTGAGAACTGATAATAACAGTATCTTTCTCATGGGATTACTATGAGAATGAAAAGATTTAGTAAAGCTAAAGGCTCCTAGAATAGTTCCTGCAACATAGTACCCTAACAATAAATGTTAAGTGTTACTGTCATTAATAATGATCTTGTTACCATTTTTATTATTTCAACATATTAAGTGTGCTTGTCTGGAAAAGGGTAGGGTTATAGATTGTGTCCTTTACACATTGTTCCTGAGTCATAAAATTGCTGACTAATAATGGGCAAAATTTAAGATAAAAATCGCGACATCTGTTTAAGTAAGCTGATCAGGCATAATTGAGTATAAAAAGCCAAAAACAAGAAAAGGAGACTCCAAATTTTAAAAAAAGCAGGCAGGTGCTTATTTTATTGTATATATGTATCAATTATGGAAAATTCAGACAATATTGCAAGAGGAAAGAATAATCTTTTTCCTTCCTATGAGTTTATTATAATAAACATATATTTTTCTAACTTAAAAAAATGGGGAGGAACTACACAGGCTTTAGAGAAGAGAAACAGGCTCATATAATAAAAGATCAAAAATTTAAACCTAATCTTACAAAGAAAAGATTAAGAGATTATGTTATTTTGGCCTCAAATATTTAAAGGACTTTTATGAAACTGCTGATTTGCTGTTGATGAGATTTGTGGAGCATATAATAAAATGGAATAGTTATAAATTAAAACATGAAGACTTCAAAATATCATTTAAAATTTGTCAAAACTGGACTAGGTGACTGAAGAAGAGTGTTGAATCTCTGGGCACGTGTGTGTGTGTGTGTGTTTATGGGTACAATAAAGAAAACAGCAAATACTTAAAAAGAGCTCTTATTTGGCTTTAGCTGCTGTTTTAAGGGTTTACAGATTGTTTTTTACTTAATTAATCTTTGTGGAAACCCTATGAGGTAAGAAATAGTATTATCCATATATAATTAGGTTTGGCAGGTTTAGTAAATAAAAACAGGATGCCTAGTTAAATGTGAATTTCAGACAAACAACAAATACTGCCACATATAGATGCCAAAAAATGATTCGTTATTTACCTGACATGCAAATTAAACTGGGTGTCCTGTTTCCTCTGGCAACCCTTTTATCGATGGGGAAGCTGAAGCTCAGAGATGGAAGAACAGAAAGAAGAAACTAAACAACTGCCACTCTCTTGTGCTTTCTGTGCTTCTATGTAGAGGACAGGGGGCTAGAACCATGATTTTTGGAGCCCCATCCTCACCTATTTTTCTTTGTCTTTGGGAAGCCAGTTGGAGTTATTCATCTATTAATTCAACAAATACCAGTAGGATGCTTACTCGGGTCCAGACATAGGCACTGCACCATGAACCTAAACAAGATATACGTAGCTCCTCCCCTCATGCAGTGGACAGGTTAGGGAGAAGACACAGATTAAGTGAGTGAACACTGCAGAGGGAGGGGACTTGTGATGGGGGGAAATTGGGTGCAGCAGAAGGCCTTCTAACCTGGCTTAGGAGGCTAGTGTTGGGTTAGGGTAGTGGTTCTCCGAGCAGCGCCCAAGACCAGCAACATTGGCACCACCTGGGAGCTTGCTGGAAATGCAAATTTTCAGGCACCACTCATAATCTACTGATCAAAAACTCTTAAACTCTTAAAACACAAATTGTTAGGGTAGGCCTAGCAATCTGTGCTTTAATAAGGCCTCCCCATGATTTTATCTCACTCTGGTGATGCAGATAATCTGCCCTTAGGGGAGGTGAAGATGCTCAGGGCATCTCTGGCCTGTCCCCCACTGTGAGGCTGGGGTACCATCTTTTCAAAGCAGGTGAGGAGAGCAGAGCTCCTGGCTCTTTGCCCCTTGCCTATAAAACAAGACTAGATAGACTCAGAGATTTAAATGCCCTATTTTGAGTTGTCCTTTCCTTTAAAGGAAAGAAAAGAAAGAGTTACTTATTCCCCGGACTATTAAGGCTTTCCCACATACTCAGGAGCAGTTAGAGTTCTTTGACTATTACAGTGGGCCACAGACTCTATTCTGAGACACTAGGATAAGTTATTAATGAGCTGACTTTAAGGAATTTGTTGTTTTATGTCCCCCTAAATTTCAACACTTAAAAAAGTTCCCGGAAATAGCTAAAAGGCCCCTATAGTTTACTTTTATTCATCTCCTTTCATGGACTTATTTGTACAAGGCCCTCTCAGATCTGGCATCTGCCTGTTTTCCCAATTTCCTAGATCTCTATTTTTCAGCACATGGCTATTGCTCATTGCTCTCAGCTTACTAACTCCTTGTGGTTTCTAGATTTGGTTAGTTTTTCAATTCTGCCAAGGCTCTGTAGAGACTCTGCCTGTGCTTGGAATGCCTTTCTTTTCTTGGACTGCCTCATGGACTCGGCTTCTCCTTCAAGATTTTGTTCAGATTTTAAGCCCTTCTTAACTCTCCTCCTCATTTCTGTTTGTTCAATATTTCATTCATCTATCGTATATGTGGACTACACTCTGTCAGATACCCTCTTAGGCTTTGGGATGCAGCAGTGAAAGAAACAAACCCCTGCCCTCATGGAGTTTACATGCTGGTAGTGGGGTGAAACAGGCAGTAAATAAATAGGTCATAAAAATATGTGGTATGTCACTGTATGAACCCATTTATATGAAATACAAAAGCAAGCAAAATTAGTCTGTGCTGTCAGAAGTCAGGATAATGG